AGGGCAAGGACATCTGGATACTGTGGGCAAGTCCAGCTCAGTCTCTTCTACACTTGATTGCAGGAAGAGTCAATGGCCTGGGAACCCAGTGCAGTCCATGCTGGGTCACCGTGGGCTCTAGCTCCTGGAAGGGGTGTCCTAGGCCTAGGCCTCACCTTGGCTGTGTCAGTGGCTTTGAAGGCATCCAAGGCCATGAGCTCCATGCCTTTCAGCTCCCCCTGGTACACCTCGACCATCCTGTCCAGGACATTCAGCCGTAGGGGCAGGTGGGCCAGCTCCTAGGACACACACAGACTGTCAGGGATCACCATTTCCTTCCACAGGAGACACAGGGATGTGGAGATCAGCAAAGCCGATGTAGTGCACACAGATATGCCCTGCATGAAGATTCCTGGTCCAGGACATTCAGATGTAGGACAAGCAGCCCCCGCTCCCTTCTCATCCCGCATACAGGTCCAGCCCCACTGGAGCCAGAGTCAGGAAGCAGAATTCCCTACTCTTCCTCATGAGGACCTGAAGAAGCTGTGAGGGTGCAGCTGGGACATACCAGCACCCACAGGCAAGCAGCTGGATCCCAGGGGAGCGAATCTCCACCAGATGGGTTGAAGTAGAGCCTGGCCAGGTCCTCATGTTGCATAGCACCTCCAGGCCTGTGCTGAGGCCACGTACAGCACTGGCCATAAAGCAGTCCGCTTTGCAGGACCTCGGGCTCTCTGAGCAGTGCCTTCAGCACCCTGCATGCACCTTCCACACTAGTGTGTCCCTTGGTACATGGAACGGTAGGATGCTGAAGGAGAGCTCACCTTCTTGAGGACGTCCCGCACTGCCAGGTACAGCGTGGTGACCTTCTGGCCAGTGCGGACTTTCATGAGAGTTTTCTCAATGTTGTTCTCCAGCTGGCGAATCATCTGCATGAGAGATGGCTCCTGTCAGGGGTGTCCCACAGAACCCAGACTGCTGAGCCCAGCAGCTGCCTGGCTTTCTTGGGAGAGCTGAGAAGATGCTGGATTAAAACCTCCATGTGGCCACTGGAGGCTGTGGCTCCTGCCTTGGGAGCAGACCACACGTACCTGCATCTGGGCCTGTTGCTGTTTATCACCAATTTCTGCCTCCGTCAGRTGCTGCAGCTGCCTCTGCAGCTCTTCCAGGGCCCTGTCCCGTTGCCTCAACTCATAGAGCAGCATGTTGCACACATTCACGCGGTCGAAGACGTCGTTCTGGAGCTTCTCCCGGGCCATCTGAAAACACACGCGAGGGCTCGCAGGGCTGCAGGGAAGGGTCACGAGGCACCCGCTGGGCAAGGGCAGGCTCTGGGGTTCTGCCAAGGCAAAATTCACCCCAAGTCAGGCCCAGTCAGGTGCTTCTCCTGGCACGGCTGCGTCCAGGAGAGCTTCGCTCTAGGGCAGCCTGGGGGTTGGGGTAAGGAAGAGGCTGATGTTGATGTCCCTTTATAGCAGCTGTGAATCTGGCTTAGAAACTGCAGAACACAGACCTGGGAGTGAAYGTCAATAAAACAAGGAAATGCCCCAAGCTGGAATGCATGCTGGAAGAGAGTGGAGGTGCAGCTCTGTTCCTGCAAGATTATCCCTTTGGGCAAAGGGGGTTAATCTGGGCTTTCCCCACAGCTCCAGAGCTGCCTGTAGCTCCCGTGGATTTATCAGCAGGCCATAGCTTAGGGCCAGGAGGTGGAAGGCAGAGACAGCCCCGCACATCTGTGTGGCCCTGGGGATACTACTTAGGACAACCAGGAGGTCTGTCGGGTCTGCTGGGACAAAGGACCTGCCCACAAAGCTAAAGGAGGAGATCTGCTGATTGAGCATTTCTGTCCAGTGCCCATCCTGTGGGACTGCACATGAACACCCCATGTATTAAGGCACCATTCCTGAAGGACCACTGGCACAAAGGGATATCCCTAAAGGCCCCCATCTTGTGGACTTATTTTCCAACCATCCCTCTAGCTCCAGTACCTTTTGAGGGGTCAGAGCCAGACAGCACTAGCTCCTTACCTCTACTGTGCTTTTGGTCAAAATGATGTCCAAGTGCTTCTGAGCTCGGCAAGCTTCAGAGATGATGATCTGGTCCTGCTGTGGGCAGGAGAGGGAATGTCAGTGTCCACAGAGGAACTATCCCCGATGCAACCTGTCACTGCTGTCCTGCCACAAAAATTACTTCTGGGGAGGAGCGTCCTGGAGCTCCTGCTCCTTGGAGCAGCTCTCAAAGCTGCTATGGGGCTACTAGAGCATCACGCCTGACCCTCCATCAGGACCTGGCTGTGAGGATCTTGCTTCAGCTCAGCCCACAGCAGCAAGGACAGGGCAGCTTGGCTTGGGCCACTCTGCAAGCCAGGAGCTGCTGAGCCATCCKGGACCCGCATTGTGCAGGAGCCACCCCTGGTGATAGGAGGACATGGGCAGTGCCCATGGCTGTAGATGGCCACAGGCTGGGACACGGGCTGCTGGCACAGGACACGGCAGGGCACACGGGCACAGGTACCTTCTCAGCAATGCCCAGGGCATTGATGTCATCCCGCACGGTCCCACGCAGGCAGGGCAGCAGCCCTCTGTTCTGGATGAGCTTCTCCTCGGCTGACTGCATGAAGAGCTTCTTCCCTTGCTCTGAAGGACATGAAAGGGCTGTTGGTGCCACGCAGTGATGTGCTGTCCCCATCCTTTGACCCAGGCAGGCAGAGTGTCACCCGACTCGCCCACTGCTGCTCCCCAGCCTCGCGCAGAGGCTCAGTTGGCATGAGGAAGCCCAGCAACACGTGATGTTGGGCTCACTCCTGCTGCTGGCACCCAGGCAGTGCYGTGCACATACAGACTGGGTGCCAGTGGGGCACCTGCAGCTGACCCTAACACAGCCCTGCCCCAGAGACAGATCCCAACCAAGCACAGACACAGCAGCCTGCYTAGGACCCCTGGCATGACCCTCCTCCAGGAGATAAACATGTCTCGGAGACAGATGACTGTTCAATTGCCTTACCTCCTTCCTGGAGACCATCATTCCAACCCCACTGCAGCCCAGTGCAGCCCCCTGAGCCCCAGCCTGCTTCCCAGTGTCCCACAGCACAACCCACATGTGTGGGGACATCCCACCGAGGCCAGGGGCGCGTCACCTTGCAAGGAGATGATGGTGCGCAGCTCCTGGATCTGCTGGTTGATGTCCGCCCTCTGGTCCTGCATGGTGGCAGAGGTCCCACCACAGCCCTCGAGCGTCTCTGTGGGCACCACAGCTGCCGTGGCCCTTCCGCCCCGCGGACACGACGCGGCCGCCGCTTTGTGAGGTCACACGGAGCCCGACCACCATTCCAGCCCCTGCACGGAATCCCGGAGCTCGGCGTCACCGCGCACGGCGTCACCTCCCGCYACCGCCACGCCGACTGCTGCTCGCATCACACGCTGACCGCGGGGCTATCACCACCGGTAGCTGCTTCCCATCCCACCGGTGGCTGCAGGGGACAGGAGCGCTTTGGGAGCGTGGCTGCAAAACGCAGGACACCTCTGTCCCCCAAAACCCGCACCGCCCAAGAACAGGACCRACTGTTTTGTCCTAGATGGCCAGGGAGGGGTTTAACATCCACATGGAAATGGGCAGAGAACTTTCTCTTCTAAGGCAGTTTGTATTTTTAGTTATTTACTTCCGAGGTGCCTAGCAATTTACCCTAGATTCGCCCCAGGTGCTGACCTTGAAGCTCAGCTGCTATCATTGCTCCATGGCCCCAGGGAGCTCCTTCGGGCTCTCATTGCAATTACTGAGCTCTTTGAGGTAGGCAAATGCTGTGCTGCCTTTTCCAACACTATTTTCCCTCACCGTGGTTACRGCATATTCTTTTGTGGAAAGAATTCCAGGTTTCCAGCAGCTGGACCCATCCAAGCCTCACCAGGAAATCTCCAGAGGAGGTGACAGGTTATGGTAGCACCTTCTCGCAGTTGTAGAAAGGCTGGGTCAGGACTGCTAAATTTGGTTTAGGGGTGCCCATCAGATTAAGAAAGATGTGTAATTACCAGTTAATTGTCAACTGCACTTGTTCTCTGTGCAGGAAATCTCGCTGTCAAGAACCGAATGTCCACAAAGGAGACAGAGGWGTCCTCCARCCTCCRGCTCTTGTGAAATCCACAGGGTAATATGGCCAGTTTTTCTCCTCTTTAAAGCTTTTCATCTGTCTCAGAGTTAACGGGGACTGATGGGCTGACTTCTCAAAGAGTCATTAAAGCCTTTCAGAGAAGCTTGCAAGGAACGAAATATAGCTCAAGTTTTTGAGTAATTTAGGTTTCTGGGCTAAGGATTAAACTACTGTCGCTTAAATGTTTTAACAGATCCCCTTGAAATATCACAATTCCCAATCAATGACAAAAAAAGGTTACARTTAAAAAAGACTGGCAACATGTGAAAGACCAGTATAATTGTCTGTAGGAGATAGGCTCCTATGAGGAGTGAAGCTCTGTTGGAACAGGCGGGAGTTGCAAATGAACACGAGTAACAATACTGAGACTTATTCTGATGCTTATCATGTATTTTTTGCTGAACTACAAATGTGACGAGCAAACCAAGCAAGTACATTTATTTGGTCATATATAAAACCAAGCTTCGGTCACAAGAGAAAAAAATATCATTTGATTCTTAGAAGAAGGTTTTATAAAGAAATACCTTTCCTAGCATGAAGCTCATAAAATTAGTTTAAATTTCTGTAACTCAAGACCTTTAACCTGCAGCCATAATATTGTGCTCTAATGTTGTAGTTAGAAAAGAAAGAAATTATAGGATTTTGAAATCAAATATTATCAATGCAAATGTCAACTGAGGCTCTCAGTGTCTCATTTTTAGAGTTATGAATTATATGTTAGTACTAATGGTTAGTGACAAGTTAAATATCAGTGCCATTCTCTTCAGTGCTTCATGAAGTATGCGTAAAGAGACCTGGAAGACCCACAGTTAGGGGGCTTGTGCACACAGGAACCTTCAGCCCAGCCAGGCACATACCAGCCTCCACATTCAGGCTGTGTCTGCATGGCAAATACACTCGTTATGCCACCAAACTTTCCTAGGCAGCGTTTAAATCCATGGAAGCTTATTTGGGGGAAGTGGAAAATATTCCTTTTAGCACCCTTCATGGACTCAGACACCATAGGTGCAAGTCCTAAAATATTATAAAGAAATTGAACCTAACCTTGCCGAAGGACTAAGAGCTAGTCACAGGCTCTGCAGCTGACGTGTCAAAATGTCTCTCTCTCTCTCTCTCCACTTGACTTCAAATTTCCCTGCAGACATTCTAAAAAATTCCCAACATCTGTAAATGATACAAAGGAAAAGGTCCTGTCAACGGCAGGAACTCGAGCTCTGCCCACTTGTCATGTAACAGGCACAGTCACATGCTCTAGGAGCAGAGAGCCAACACGGAATCCAGTGCACTGCTAATGGGAAACAGAGATCACGCTGTGGTCCAGCTAGCACAGCCTGATTTGCTGTGTGCAGTCATTGGAATGGGTACATAATAGGAAAGGCTCTTTARGTTCCTCCTGGTTTAACTTCGATTCACCCGAGGATACACGCTTTGAATGATGGTTTATATTTTTAGTACCTATTTTCCCATTTTTTTCTTCTTCTCCACCTCGCCTTCTTTGAAACATAAAAGTTAAAGGCCTTGGCTTAACAGGGCTGAAGCGAATTTTAATAGAACTACCAAGAACTATGCACTGTGCCTCAGGATCTGGTTGGAAATTCTGTGTGCACATTAGAAAGTAGCATAAAAAGACGCAGGATAAAGGAGAGCAGCCAGAATTACTCTTGTACCAAAAAAGAAGAGGGACACACACAACGTTTACCACTAGGGAATCAGGGTCCAACAAAGTCCCTCTAGCTCCATGGCCCCAGGCCATGGCCTCCTCAGGACGTGGTTCATTTCCCCACCTGAATGAGAGCAGTTCAGCAATGCAGACCATCCCACTAGCTTACTAAAAGCAACCACAGCCCCAGACAGCTCCTATGCCATAACAAAAATAATCACTTTTTGTCTATAATACATAAATAGATGATAATTCTTTTTATATTGTTATTAATGTAGCTAAATATACTTTAYGAATAATTTATTTGGAGAACGTTTTCTCTACATTACCATTTTTTAAAATCTCAGTGAGTCATTTTTTGTGCTGCCAAGAAATTACTTTATATACTATCCATACTTCGCATTTGTTTAAAAATGCACTATTTTAAAGGTTTCTCTCCTCACATACAAAACCTGCCCCTCAGAGACATATGAAGTCTTCCACTCAATACTGACAATTAAAATCAATAATTACTTGGCACTGTATCAGTCAGTCTTCAATCACAACCCTTACAGCAAAAAAAGCCACAGTAATTTCCAAGTCAGATCTTAACTCGGTCCTTATTAGTGCAGCTCCGACACAAACTATTCCTATAGGCAAACCCAAGCAAGTGTAAAATAATAAAGAACACTGCATGGAAAAATCCCAAATAATTAGTGTCAGAAAATATTTGGCAGCAAGAGATCGGAAACATGAAAGCCTAAGAGAATAGAGAGGCTAATACCAGTCCCTTATGACAGTGTTGTTAGAGAAGTACTGTTCCTAAAAGGTTTTCTTCATTCRAGCTTTTCATCTCCTTCTTCCACGTCTTTCAGACTGAGCACCTCAAGCGTTCCTTTCCCTTTTGTCTCACATCGGATCAGCTCATCAATCTCTCTGAAGCAGCCAGGGTCAATAAGGCACACCTGAAACAGTTTATATTTAATCAGTACAAARTATAGCCTATTTTCCATTAAAATATATATACTAAAAAGGTCTTCACACAGTTGGTAAGCAATTTTTATCAATTAGGCTTTTTGCAGAGCTGCGCAATTTCATTTACCTATGCTTTACATGACAACTTTCACAATTAAACTGGTAGATTATGACCTGTTCTCAAAATGATTTTTACTCAGTAGCAAATCTTGCTTTACTACAGGCTATTTTTTTTTWAAATGACCAGCTATTTTCAAACACAGCTATTTTCAAACCCACCCAAAATCTTAAGGTTCTGTATGTGCAGAGAAATCCACTGCAGAAAGAGCAGTTACAGGGGAATCACTGCTAAAAGAAATTACACGCACTTCTCTGCAGCCCAAACCAGCAMTGTTTATACAACAGAGGTTGCTTTGAAGTTTTCACTAAGATGGTGTGAAATTAAACCCAACAAACCACATCTCTGATTGAGTAAACTTCCAGCTTTTTGAAATGCCCCCCATATTCTTCTAGTAAAATGTGTACGTCTAGACAAATGGAGTGTGAAAACCAGGATTGCTTTTTGGCTTACAATTTCTAACTGCTCGTGGAAGTCCTCGTTCTCAATAACTTTGATGAGTGGCTTGAGTTTTTCTTTCAGTTTCTTTCCCTCCTTCTGTGGGAGGATGAATCGCAGCCTCATGTGAGCACGCTCGATTTGCATGGTCTCCTTTAACTGACGGATCACTTCCAGGGCCTGCACGGATGTTAAACACATCAATGGATTAAATGCATCACTTTCCTTAAAAAGCACTAAAACAGAGCAACAGCACAGAATCGCAGAATGGCTGAGATTGGAGGGGACTTCTAGAGATCATCCAGCCAAGYCCTCTGCACAAGCAGAGTCACCTAGAAGARCCTGCCCAGGACCCTGTCCATTTTGACCATCTCCAAGGAAGGAGACTCCACAAGCAACCTGGGCAACCTGTTCCAGTGCTCTGGCATCCTCATGGTAAGGAAGTTTTCCTCACGTTCAGATGCAACCTCCTGTGTTTCAGTCTGCCTCTCATTCTGTCACTAGGCACCTGTGTCTGGTCACATCCTCTTTACACCCTCCCTGCACATACTGAAAACCACTGGTAGGATCCCCGCTCTGCTGGATGGCAGATCCCCTAGGCTGGACGGCACCAGCGCTCTCAGCCTCTCCGTGTATGAGAGATGTTCCCTTCAGGATCTTAGCGGGCAGTGCTGGGCTCTCTGCAACAGCTCCGTGTGCCTCCTGTCGCAGGGAGCCCAGCACGGGACACAGCCCCCCAGGAGCAGCCTCTGCAGGGCTGAGCAGGGGGCAGGATCCCTTCCCTCGTCTTCCTGATGCGCCCCAGGCCACCACTGACATTCTCGGCCACCGGGGCACAGTGGTGGCTATGCCCATGTTGACCACTGGGTCTCCCTGGTCCTGCTCTGCAGATCATCTCCCACAGGCCAACCCCGAACCTGCACTGGTGCAGGGCTTGTTCCTCCCTAGGTGYAGGAGTTKGCACTTCCCYTCAGTGAACTTCAGGACTTTCCTTTCTGCCAACGTCTCCAGCCTACTGAGGTATCCTTGAACAGCAACCAGAGCCCTCTGAAGTGTCAGCCACTCCTCCCAGTTTTATAGTATGAGCAAACTTGCTGAGGGTGCTCTCGGGCCCATCATCTATGTCCCTGATGAGTAAGTTGAACAGGACTGGACGTGGGGCTTGCAGCCAGCTGCTGTAACAGACATTGTGCCACTGATCACAGCCAAAACCACCGTCATCACATCTCAAATCCKTTGTATCAGCTTCAAACACGTTTTTCAGCACGGATCACTGGAATTCTGTTGGAGGGAGTTTGATTTTTTGCTGTTTTGATTGAAAAGGCAGAGTTCTTGGTGATGATGATCACTTAAAAGATGAATAAAAAGGGCCTGAAATAATCTTAAACAGGAGTCATGCTGCMGAACAGTGGAAACCCATGAGGTTCACTTGCAAATCCTGATTTATGACCTCAGTTAAAATGAATCATAAAATAATTACTTTCATTTCAGGCATACCACTATTACTGCTTTGATTGGTTTCTTTTTTCTTTCCTCCCTAAGCACTTTGAGAGGAAACTACCTGAGCTGCTCCTTTCTAGCACTTGTCTGCCAGCCAACTGACTAACCATTCTTTGGGCCACGTGTTTTTTTTGATCCCTATGTGAACGTGAATGAAGACAATACGTGTGGAAATAACCCCTGTGGGTGCCAGCTGATTTAAAGAGAAAACGAACCTGCTGCTTTGTGCTCTTGTTTGGTTTGACAGAGTAGTGAATATCCTTCATAGCTCTTTCTATCAGGATTACTGTGTACGGTCTCTTTGTTTCAGGATTCACACATTTGTCAGCCACAATGGTCGCAATGTCTCTGAACATCTGCTCCAGCTGAGTGTGTCGCTCCTTGTCCGATACCTGCAACTCCCCTTTCGATAAAATCTGTTTSGTTTAAAACAAAGAGAAAATAAAGGCTGCAGTTTATAAGTGTCACAGAATTGACTAAGGAGTAAAATTCTGGTAGTTTTGTTAAATTCACCAATAACTTGAAGGTTTGGTTAAACACTAAGTACAGAAAAGAAATAATCAGACCAATAATATACATCGTTAYCACAGACAATACTGGTAAGACTTCAGAAAAAAATAATCTTATTTTCTAAAYCCCAAGAAGAAGAGTGCAGTGTTGTTCAAAGCACCCTCGCCCACAGCTCGCATGGTACTAAGAGGGATATTTTTCCTAATACCCACCTGTCCAACGGCAGCAACGACGCCCTTCCCTCTCTCTCCCGTTGGATGTAAACAGTATACGTACCTCAGGAGATACAAACCTCCTTCCACGTGTGTTTTGCAAGCAGCRCTACGCACTGTCCCAAATACTCGGGCCTCTGTGGGTGTCTGTATTCAACTCAGTACTCCCCCAGGCGGGTGATGTGCCCGTCTGCTCGTCTATRTGCTTGTCGCATATAGCCTCACTATACAGACTTACCATATAGGCCATATAGCTCCTATAGACTACGGGGGAGCTGCGCTCCGGGTGCCGAGAGCACAGAGCGAGCCACGCTGCTGTGTCACTGTGACACAGTGGGGACTGTGGGGGACTCCCACACCGTGTCCCTAACCGCGTGGGACCCCCCAAAGGGCGCGCGCCCCGCTCCGCGCCCCGCTCACCATCTTGCAGATCTCCGTCTGGTCATCGGTGCCAAAGGCCTTCACGAGGTCCTCCTTCTTGGCCACCTGCCCCTTGGACACGTTCACGAACACCGTGTGCGTCTGCAGCACCTCGTCGATGTCCTTCTCCCTGCGGGCGGCGCCCGGTGAATCGCGCGTGGGCGCCGAGCGCCGCCGCCCCCCGCCCCGCGCGGCCCCCCCGGCACTCACGCGCCGCTGCGCCAGCCCATGACCTTGTTGCGGTAACAGGCGATCTCGAAGCGCTTYCCGGCGCGGCGCGCCCGCACCACGGCCACGTTCGTGAGGCGGATCTGGTTGGTGGGGGTGAAGATGGACATGGCGGCGGCGGCGGCGGCGGCTGGCGCGGGCGCCGCCGGGGCGGGGACGGGACGGCGCCGGGGACGGGACGGGGCCGCCCGTTGGCCGCGCGCCGCTCTGCCCGCCTCTCTGCCCGCCTCTCGCTGCGCCTCCAAAGGCGTCCGGAGGGAAACAGCGCGGCCCGGGAGCGCGCGGGACGGCGGGCAGCCGCGCGGGACGGGGACGGGCCCGGGCCGGTGAGCGCGGGGGGCTCGCGGGGGAGGCCGCCCGGGGCAGCGGCGTCTGGGCGCCACGGGTGAGGCCCGATCGCGCTCTCGAGTGTTCTCCGAGCGACAGGCGGGTCCCCGGGATCAGCCGGGCGGTCCCCGGGATCAGCCGGGCGATCCCCGGGATGCAGCGTCCTGGAGCCGGAGCCCTTGGGTTGGGCTGGGCTGGCGGCTCAAACCGGTCCGAATAAGCTCGGAATAAAACCCTCCCCTGCTCGAAGCAGTCTGTGCTTTCAGTCCACTCCAGACTTCGGCCTGGCCTAGGTACCGAAGCGATTGTTAAAACAAGAGTAGTTTTTAATGCGTTTTAATCAGCTACTGGGGGGCCTGGTGTTAACTTTCCCCTGAAATGGCCGTTTGTTGCCTTGGGGCTGTGCACGTAGGGGTGGCTCGTCAGACAGGGCAGTTGTGTGCAGCTGGATTTTGGATAGCGGCATGATACAAAAGTGCCTTTCCTTACAACACAACCATCTGTCCTAGGTGGTGAAAAAACTCCGTGCTGTTGTGCGGTGACGTCAGCCTCGGTGTGCAGGTTGGTCCTGAATGAATCTCTTTTTGCTAAATCTCTGATTTTTCTTCTGGTTTTAGATGTCTCCATGGATCCACAGAACTACTTCTATGCTTGCCTGATGTCCTTATGGCTGCACCGATTTTACATCTATTCCTCTCTTGCCTTGGGGATCAGTGTTTGGGTCTGCATTCAGTGCTTCACCAGCAAAACCAGGAAAAAGGTAACTGAGCATCTAAGCCCCTTGGCCTGAGAAGGCCCACAAAATCCGCGTRCAGAAGTGAATAGTTATCCTGCAACTCATTGGTGCAGTAAAAYGTGATGCTTTAGCAGCCATATAGGCTGTAGAAATCCTAAATGTAGCTTAGCTCACTTAATAGTCATAATCCTCAACTKGGCTTGTATCGGATCTGCTGCAACATAGAATCATAGAATCACAGAATGCTTAAGGTTGGAAGGGACCTCAGAGGTCATCTAGTCCAGCCCCCCTGCTCAACTCATCAGAGTAGTTAATTATTCCCAGCCATAATTCAGACACTTTTTTTACTCTGTTATGCGTCACTCTAGATTTTTCTGTTACTTCTTCAGGTAAATAACTCTGTGTCTGCCCAGTGTTTCCAGTTATTTTATTTTTTTCCATTGAAGTTAATGGCAAGTCTGAACTAGTTAACATGTGAGAATGGGCTTAATTAGCCAGGAAATCAAAAACTCCTCCTGCATGTGAGTGAAGAGCTTGTGATGGAGGAGACTCGGGTCATTCTTCAAGTGGTGTCTTCAACACTGTGGTTGCTTTACAGGATGAGAAGTGCAATGGGAATCCAGCCTCTGCTGAAGAAACGGAGGGCAAGCTCGTAAATGGATATGCCACCTCAAAGGCAAAAGAGGTCTATGTTGCTGGAGTAAAGATTTTCTATGGGTCCCAGACTGGCACAGCAAAGGTACAGGCTGTTTTTGTTCGTATGTGTGATGTTAACAGAAACACTGTCTAGATTCAAGCGTGTTGCTTGCCTTAACGTGGCGCTATAAAAATCTGAAAGTTTGTTGGAAAGTTGACTAGCTCATTGGGAGTCATTGGCCCAACACGAAACATTACAAGTGAAAATAGATAAAAATAACTGCTCCCATTTCCCTCATTTAAGAGAGGAAAGCAATAGAGATCCTGGCTATGAAGTCTGAAATGGGCTCTTACATATGTTCTTAATTTGCTGGCAAGCCCTCTTTCCTTACAGAAAGTGGTATTTTAGGTGTTTCCTTTATCAGAAAGATTTGATTTGTGTGTATGGGCATGCAAAAATCATTGGGTCATTAATATACCTCGTTTTTTATTAAATTTTATTTTATCTTTTCCCCTGTCAGTGTATTTCCACCAAAAAAGGTGGGAAAGGTGGAGAGGAAATTGTAGGTGCAATGACCAGATCTTGTGTGTCGTTTCTCTTCATTTTGTGAGACTTCCTGTGCCAGGTGGTCACAGCAGAATCCATTTGACACTTAATTTAGTTGGGTGAMTCATTAATGACTTTCTATATTTCTCTCCTCAGAAATTTGCCGAAGGTCTGGCTGAAGCAGTTAATTCCCTTAATTTGTCTGCAGAAGTTATTAATATGGGAGACTATGATCCAGATGATAGTTTAACAGAGGAGGTAGGTGCCTCAAATATGAATAATGAATACAAGCTCTTGCAAAAGGCTCTTTCCTCTTCACTCTGTGCCTCTCAGGTTATCCTGGAAGTCCCCAAAGTTCCTTCTCTTTTGTGTAGGTGAGTGTAACCTATCAACCCTCAGCAGAAAATACATGGATTCGGAAAACTGCTGGAAAAAGGGTCATGTAACATGCTGTGGTACAGATAGTAGTTAGTTCTTTCATGTCTGAGCTGGATGAGAGTGGCTCTCACAAGTCTTCCTGTTTTTTTTCTTGGCGGTATGCACCTAGGGAAGAGTTCAAAAATAGAACAGATATGTCTTCAGCAAGCAGCTTCCTGAAAAACATGTTTATATTTAGTCTTTGATCAAATTTTTTTAAACTATTTCTTCCCCCCTCCCTTTTGTTAATATTGATGGCTACCTTTTCAACCTTCCAAAGACTTTGATGCTGCAGGGATCTCTTCAAGAAGTTATAGAAGGAGGTGGGGAGGGTAGGTATCCAGGTCTATTTTACCAACGTGCCCCTGCATGGCAGGGGAACATGTCTTCATTTTTCCTTGGGTGAGTTAGGATGGCTTAGAATGGAGGATAGCTGTTCTTCACCACTGGCATCATCACCTGAATCAAAGGTCCCTAATCCCCAAGGGGGGAGGAAAAAAAAATAAATGTATCGCTTGTTTGGGCTGTCCGTGTGTTACAGTGCTTGGTGTAAAGTGTTCTGTAAAATGTTCTCTTTCTTGTTATTAGACAACCAGCAGGAACATTTGTGTGTTCTTGGTAGCGACGTACACGGATGGACAACCGACGGAGAGCGCAGCGTGGTTCTGCAAATGGTTGGAAGAGGCTGTGAGCGACTTCCGCTTTGGCAAGATGTACCTGAGAGGCCTGAGATACGCYGTGTTTGGCTTGGGGAACTCGGTTTATGTTGATCACTACAACACAGTAAGTTTCTCCCATGTACCCTTTATTTTGCTCTTCTGAAATTTTTCTTTAACTCAATAAAATTGAGTGACCCGGATGGTATGACTCCACCTAATCTTAAAAACCTGTTGCTGCTGTTTTGAGAACAGCTTGACAGGCAGTACAGTTTTGAAGCAATCTGCTACCCTTCTAAATTGGAGAAAGGAGACCCATAAGCACTGTGTTAGCCTTTGAGGCTTTGCAGTGACCATGAGCATGCATTTGGTAAACTTCTCCCTATGAATTTCCAAGTTTCAAAACGCTTCCATCAGTGCATGATGTAGTACTGTAAAACCTCAAAACTAAAAGCGAGTCGGAGCGCTTCTTTCTCAGCATTTCATGTACTTTGCTGCATTCTGAGAGTCTTACTTTCCTTTTGAAAAACTAAACTCAGTGTCTTAGTCCAGTGATAGGGATTTTCTGACCTGGAGGGATGAAAATGGCATAGTTTGTCATCAGATTGTGTAGCCAGAGCTGTGTAAAACGTGTTAAGTCCTTGCTCTGCTAATTGCCTGTATTTAACTTGGGCTTCATTTAGCTTCTCTCTAACTTGCATCCTGTCCTAGGTTGGAAGAAATATTGACAGGTGGCTGTGGATGCTGAGTGCCAGCCGTATCATGACTCGTGCAGARGGGGACTGCAACGTGGCCCAGAGCAGACACGGCAGCATCGAGGCTGATTTTGAAGCCTGGAAAACAAAGTTCCTCAGTCGACTCCAGGYGCTCTGCAAAGGCGAGAAGAAACCCTGCAGTGGGAAGTGCAAGAAAGGCAAGTGCAAATCGCAGGGGAAGCAGAGCAAGGAGAGCTCGGATCATGGACACGGGACGTCGGCATACGTGAATGCTGAGGTAGAGCCAAAATCCACGAGACCCTATTTCTGCAGGAGGAGTGTCTTGACCGGGGATGGTTCACTGCTCCTTGATCTCTCCCCTGGGGTGCTGTCAACAATTCATACTTCGAGGGGAAAAAAGTTAGATCTCAGCAGACAACTGCTAGAATAAGTTGCCCAAGAACSGGTGGTAAAGCCAGGTTGAATTGTGTCTATGTGATGAGGAAGCCTTCCTGTTGTGCAGGAGAAGGTGTATGTTATGACTCTGGGGAACCACTATGGTCTTTCATCAGAGTTTTTGCTTATCCCCTTTTCCTGAATGAAGCCTTTAGTTACCCGAGCAGTTAACCTGCTCCYATTTCAAGTAGCTGCTTGGATGATTTGTCTATATTCTGTTTTTATTTATTTTTTCCTGAAGACGGTTTGGGGCGTGTTACCTGAGCAAGTCCTGCTGTGCCTCTGAACCAGTCTGCTCTGATTGCTTACATCTTTTCTGGAGTGCAGGTGCTAATTGCAAGTTTTGAATAAGGAATCGTGTCTCTTGCTCTGCAGCAAGAACCCTAGAGCTGCTGTGGCACCCCGACCCACTCTGCAAGCCCTGTGCTGTGCACTGGAAGTGGCTGCTGTTGCCATGCAGAATTTCAGAAGTGCAGCTACTGCAGAAACAGGAGGAACAAATTTTGCTGTTACATCAGTCCGGCCATGCTGTGCCTTGGCTGGGAACAGAGAGGGAGACAACACTTCTGTTCCCTGAAGAGTGTGACTTGGAAAAGCTGAACTGCTCCTTTCTGTTCACTCAGGGAATGAGTGGGAGTTAAAAGAGGTTCGGGCTCCAGATCTTCACAGTATATAGGGGGAGTTGGACGCCTCTGATTGGGTAGACAAATGCAGAAAACAGAACAATATAGACTGGCAGGCAGAATTTCCGAACTAAGTTTCGGGCGGTTTATGTACTACTGAGCTCGTAAAAGTTCTAAGTTTATTTTATAGTATGCAGATACATCTAATATACAGGTTAATGCTGGCTTGTKGCCTGTTTTTCAGAAGTCTTTGACTTTAACACAGCAGATACATTCCTATTTATTTCTTCTGATCTCCTACACAGGCAGAGGAGTTTTTTGAAACCACTAGTGAGGAGGAATCTGATGCTGAGAAAGCTGGAGACACAAATTCTGTCATAGATGTTGAAGATCTGGGTGAAATCATGAGCCACGTGAAGAAAGCTAAGGTACTGGTATTACAGTGAGTGTGGAACCACTGTGTCTCTGTCACTGATCAGCTGAACTGATTAAAATATTGCTGCTGRATTGTGATCTGCAGGGTCTACCAGAATGTGAGCAAAGCATGAGATATTTAAGGTCCTGATCAGAAAGAGGATGTATTTGGGATTGGGTTGCATAGACATACTGGTGAACTGGGACTTGTTTGAGCAAATGCTCTAGTAGCAACTCATTTTCAGTCTGAGAGGAATTACTTAATGCCACGGTTAATGCCACAGGCCGCTGTCTGCATCTTGGCTGCTGTGATTTGCAGTCCAGTGCCTAAACACAGATGCTGTTGCTATATCTAGCTGTGGGTGGATCAGGTGAAGTGCAAGGCATGTATTACATGCTCTCATGCCCTGGTGGGGGGTAAAGCTACAACTGAGGCTGCTGCACAGACTGCTGCAGCATTTTCTGCCCATTTCTTTTTGCTGTTACTGCAATCAGGTAAGGTACAATGCCCTCAAAGAAAGCCAGTGAGCTTGATCTGACATGTAAGTTTGCAAGTAAGACTCTATTTCCCCCTTAATTTTAGGGTGTTTTATCTTGCAAGGCTTTGCTGTGTGGAATTTCACAGTTCTTTCTTGTAACTTAAGTGTTTTCTCAGCAGTTTGAGGCAAGATTACAAAGCTGGGCGAAGCCAGGCCTTGGATCACAGAAAGCTGAATATTTAGGAGAGAATGAGCCTGCCAAGGGGAATATGGTAAGGGACAGAAATYCCCATGAAGAATGGGAATTCCCATAAAGAATGGGAAGGAGCTAAAACATTTCTTGCTGCTTATAACAAGAGCTGATGCTAGAAGAGTAACTTTCTTCCATTCATACTTAGGGGTGAATCAGACAACTGTATTGGGGCTCCYATCCCTGAGCAGTGTCAACTCTCCTGCTGTAGTTTGCAAAGAAGGATGGTTGCACCGTCTGGATTTCCTTTAGATAAGGAAATGTTTGCTGTGTAACCTTAGTCTGTGGTGATCCCTTTTCTCTGCTGTGTTCACCACTAGAGGTCAGTGGCAAAAAGGAAACCACATTTTTTTGTAGCAGCTTACCTTGTGAGATGATTTGGGACCAGGGAAGGAAGGTTCCTTCGTCCAAGAGTTTTATGAAGATCTAGGCCTTGAGTTTTCACTGGCTAATAAACTATAGTGTCACCAAGGTCAAAATGTGTAAGGGTAAACAGGAGGAAAAATATGGATCACTGATGAATTCACAGGTAAAGAAAGTGATCACAGCAATGAAGTACTTCTAGCTCTTAGCTTTTCAGGCTCCTTGCACTGGTAGTGTGCACAGCTCAAATCCCAGTATTTGGCTTTATAAATGATGCTGAAAATTCTCTGCTGTGTGCCATTTTACCTCAATTTTGATTCAGCCTGTTGACTTCTTCCTTCAGTCTTTAGATTGCTCAGAATGATGATGAGATACGGATACAAGTTGAAACCTAGGCAGTTCCATCTCTGCATGAGGAAGAACTTCTTTGCTGTGAAGATCACAGAGTCCTGGCACAGGCTGCCCAGGGAGGCTGTGGAGCCTGCTTCTCCGGAGGTCTTCAAAACCTGCTTGGATGCAGCCTGTGCCACATGCTCTGGGTGTCCCTGCTGGAGCAGGGGTTGGACTGGATGATCTCTAGGGGTCCCTTCCAACCTTAACCATTCTGTGATTCTATAATGTATGGAAAATCAGAGGTCTGTGTGATATATGGAGTCTGTCCAGGTTGTTCAGTGCAGCAAGGCAGGGTCTGGCTGTGGATAATGTTCTTGTGGCTCTGACATAGMCAGCCTCTGCTCTAAGGGAGAGTCGCTGAGCACAACTGTTCATCTAGAGTCGCAAAAAAGCGGCCTGCTACCTTTTCCTTGGAGGAGCTCCTCCATCCTGGCAGCTGAACGGTGTTTCTTTGCAGGATGAGTAAGTAGATCCTTAGAGTGAGGTGGCTTGAAAGTGCGTTCTTCCCAAGCACGGGAATAGCCTGGCCCTTGTGGATATAAGCTGTTGTCAGCTCGCTGGAGGAGACCAAATCCCCAAGCTTTGGGATAAGAGATCAGTGTCTCTGTGCCTGATACTACTGAACTACCTGCAATGACATGACAAGATTTTTGGGCTAATTCTATAATGGTAAACAATGTAATTGTTATTACTGGCCTCTCTATTTCTGTTCTACAGGTTGATTTGTGTAGATAAAAATCCAAGCCCCCAGTTTCTTGYTGCTGTAAGAGCAGCAGATGATGGAGAAAGGGCCTCCAGGGGTGACTTCAGTGTAAACCCTCCGCTCTCTGGAGCGGGAGGGTTGGTTCCAGAATGCTGCCTGGACRTAGCCGTGTAACCACTTCACGGGGAGCCTGAACGGAGGTTATCCCAGCGTTAGCCTGGAGGATGAATGACTCTGGCTTGGTGGTGAATCCCTTGGGGAATGTGTGCATAGACTTGCCGACAGGTTTGTGCAAGCACTTGAATTGTAAAATGATCCCCTAGGCACAGTTATTTACTCTAATGAAAATAAATGCTGAAGTGGAGGTATTGAAGAGCAAAAGGATTTGCATTTATGAAAGTAATTCATCGTKATCAGGCTCACTTGCTTCCAGACTGAAACATGTAGTTTCTCGAGTCTGRTATGTTTTGGTTTTAGTCACGTCCTTACTTTAGTCACTGTGAATTTTACAATGAGAACGAGCTCTTTCAGATGAGTCGTATTATCCCTTCAGGAGCTTTTTTTCCCTCTTGCAGAATGCTGAACAGTGTGTTGTGTTTTTCTTTGTCTATGTGTATTCAACACTCACATAATACTACAGCTCTGTAATCCTACCACCAAGGGTGGGTGGTTGGCATTCGTGCATGTGGACTGCAGCATCCGAGGTAGSGGGTTTGAAGAAAACTTGAGTATTTCAGGATTTATTCCAGGCACTCCTCTATATTCACTCCTCTGTACCCACAGTTTTTCCATTTAGTTTGTGCCTAGCAGTTTTGCAGCGTGGGTTATATGGGTTTCTGTTGCGTATTAACCCCTTGGSATCTGGAATGTACAGTAGTGGGATCTGCCTTGTGCAACACAGCGAACTTATTGAGATGCTTGAGGGCCTGGCTTTGATCTGCTCTGCAGGCCTGTGAGAAGTGCTGCTTAGCACAAACGTGCAGACACAGTCCTAAGTCCTCCTTGTCTTCCTTTTCAATGGGATGGCGGARCAAGCGATGCTGTGGAAGCAAGCCTGTCTAATGAATGTTTGCTCAGATCTCTGGGGGTAGAGAACTTAACTTAATCTTGCTGGTGAAGTTCAATCGGCTGTTATGTAACTTAATGGAAATCTAGACTGAATTTTGTTTTTGCAGCTTGGTGGGCCTGTACTGCAGCTTTGCTGTGTTCAGCAGAGCGTTGGGAAAGGGTGTGAGAAAGCTGCTGGGTTCTTGTGCTTGTTTGGGTCAGAAAGATGGCATCAAGAGTGTGGGGTGGATGCCAGACCATCTCTTCCTGGTGTAGTCCTAGATGTAACGGGTTTTCCTTTGGGGAGATCTGGAAGAGATGGGTTTTTAAAGAGCTGCTGGGAGTAAGGGAACCCAGTTTAAAATGATGGTGCCTTCTGCACACTGAACCTGAGGCTAGAATCCAGTCTGAAACAAAAGGGTTTCAAAGGAAAATTGTTCAGGTATGTAAGAACTGATATAGAGAAGTTCCGCGGTGTTTATCTCCTGTCATAATATCTGAATGGAAGAATTTACTTATTCATTACTTATTCTCGGCGTGAAACAACTGTTGGAACTTGCCATGAGAAATGGTTGCAGGGAACTTTGGCAGGCTTCCGGGACGGACTGCCCTCTGCCCAGGTCGCATCTGGTGTATCGTAAAGCAGATTGCCAGGCCTGCAGCCCAGCAACGTGTGAGCGCGGCCCTAAGGGGGCTGGGAGAGCGGGCTGTCCCCGGCCCCTCCGACACTGTGGGAGATGGGATTTGTTCTGGGTGGATTTAGTAACTGYGTGGGCTTTTCAGTTGTACAAATGCGAGGCACTTTGCCTGTCCTCCAAAGTTATTCTCCTGAAATGTGTTTATCAGATAAATGTGAAATCTAATGGGGATGTTTGTGGTCTGCAAGACTGCTATTAATCATAGGGACACCCTTTCTTAATGTGGATTATCTCCCACAGCTGGAAGATTGTGATAAACTAGAAGGACAGATCGATCTGGACTGATTCCTAGGGAATGAAATGGCTTTATTAACCTTCATATTTATAAACCACAGGCATGAATAATAATAATACCCATTTTTTGGATGAGTTGGGGAGTAATCAAATGGGCATATTTTCTTGACAGCTTGGAGATGAATGCTCATTTTCCAAAGTGAAGTTTAATGATGCTTGCAGTCACATTTGCAATGTAAATACATAAGGACGGCCCGTGTCTGAGGGAGAGGATGAGAGTGAGTTTACAGGTCTTGGTTTCTGCTTCTCCCTGTGACAGATAAGGAGATGGTGGTAGGTTGTTCAGTCACTTCTGAATAATTTAGAATGACTTCTTTTTTTGGGGAAGATGAGCCATTCATCACCGCGGGGACTGCAAATGACACTACTCAAATATTCAGTGGTCACTTGTGAGCTTACGACTACAGTGGCCATCAAACCTTGCTAGCATTTGCTGAAGAAACTTTCACTGAAGTTGGCTGGGGTTTTCCTTCCGAGTTTGAAGACTTACAGGTTTAAGATGAAGTTGAAAATAATGTGTGCAACTCGCTGCTACAAGCGGAAGCTTCAGCAATGTGCAAGAAATGTTGACTGTGGCTTAATCTAATTAATTACTCTGGGGTACTCTGTSAGATTTAAACAGCTTAAAAATGAAGTGCCAATATAGAGCTTTCCAAAAAGTTTCTCTCACCTGTAATAAGTGAAAAATTTCTAGAGGAATAAATGTGCTCTTATATTCAACAGCTCTGTCTCTGAGCCAGAGCAGCAGAGGTCAAAATCTAGCCCAGAATCCAGAGCAATTCTGCAT